TGCCTTTCCTGGGACTCACTTGGTAGCCCAGGCTGGCCTCGAACTCACAGAGATCCGCCTGCCTCTGCCTCCCAAGTGCTGGGATTAAAGACATGCGCCACCACCGCCCGGCTCCACAGTGCTTTTCTTGAGACCACCTTATATTCAGGCGAGTAGCAGAACTGCGTACTGTGTTCTCTATATGTGGGCATGTGGGCTATTAAAAAGGTACATTCAAAGGTTGAAAATTAATAAGTTAAGATTTTGTTGTTTCACTGTTAAGCAAAACTGACTTTTGATTGATTAGTGAGCTGTGCCACTGACCTTAGAGTGATCTTGAAAATGTTGGATGCTCTCTCTGCAGAGGACCATCTCTTGGGGCCTTTTCTGTTCATTCACTGATAAACCCCTTTTCAGTTGATTCAAAAACTGTCATTGAATGAATAATTTTCTAGATACATGAATAAATGTGTAGGAAATGGTTCAGTTCCTCTTGAGGGTCAGTGGTAAAGACTTCAATCTGAATCTGTCTATAAGAAAACTCTTTTAAACAATGGGATACTGCATCGCCATAAATTCCTAAGAAAATTGTTAGGTGTGGGGTAATGGTCTTAGAGGACTAGCAGAGTAATCTGGGCTTCCTGCTGAGTGAAAGCTTCATAGAGAGGAACTTCCTTTTTGTTTAAAGTGCTATACATTTTCTAAACACTGAAATACCAATCAAAATAAAAGGACAAGGGTATACAAAAGCTTACTTATGGATTCTTCAATGGGATTGCCTAAAAAGTGAAATCAGTGTAAGAAGTTCCCTGAACAGTAACTAATTTACAGCTCTTGGATGATGTCTAACACAGCACTTTAATTTCAGACTACATACTGCGGCACCCTGCCCAGCTGTTCAGATCTAGCTTTTATTACTTCTTCCAAATACCATGGTTCCCAGAATTTATGTTCTCAATTAATGATTTCAAGGTAAGTGAAACAAATACTTTATTATAATTATTATTTATGATGAATATTTCTAATGAAAATCCATCTTTAAGAATGAAAATGTTAAAACTTAATCGTCAGATGTCTTAGTTACTGTTCTATTGCTATGAGGGCCACCATGACCAAGGCAACTTATAAAAGACAGCAATGAATTGGGGACTCTCTTACAGTTCCAGAGACTCAGTCCATGACCATCATGGCAGGGGGCATGGTGGCCGATAGGCAGGCAGGCAGGTGCCGAAGCAGTAGCTGAGAGCTCATATCCGATCCATAAATTGCAGAAAGAGAGAGTGGGCCTGGTGTGGGCTTTGAGATCCTAAAACCCACGCCACAGTGATACCTCTTCCAGCAACAAGGCCTTACCTCCTTATTTATTTTCTATTTATTTATTTGTTTGTTTGTTTGTTTAATTTTATATACCAACCACAGTTCCCTTTCCCAAGGCCTTACCTCCTAATCCTTCCAAAATCAGTTCCACCAACTGAGGACCAAGCATTCAAATATACGAGCCTATGGGGCCTTTCTCATTCAAACCACACAGTAGGTTTAAAGACTTTCCCTCAGGCTTACTTATCTTTATATCTCTACTGATATGTTTGAAAGACTGGCTTTTAACTTTGTACAGGAGCTTGTATCTTATTGTTACTATCTAGGAGTCTCTTAATTGGGTTGTTTCCTCTGCCAGTTAAAGAATTAAAAGGCGGGGGGGGGGGGGGAGGGAGAATCTTGAACAAGAGGGGGGTATCAGCAGAGAAATCTCACACAGCAAAGGGGAGCGGAGAGAACCGCAGTTAGAGAGACATTTATTTATTGGGCGTGAGGAAACACCTGCGGTAGGCACACAGAGAAAAACAACGATTCGGGAAACCAAAACTCCAGTCTCTTCTTGAGTGCTGAGGTTTTTTAAGTCTCTGAAAGGTCTTCCTCCCCAGTTTAGGGTTGGCCAGTCTGAAGAAGAAAGACAGGATGGCTGATTGGCCCACAACAGTTGTATAAACTTGTGCAGATCTAGCCTTGAACTTATTGAGACAGTCTGTTAGCAGGGGCCCTGCAGGCTGGAGAAAAGCCCTCAAGGCCTTTGTTTTAAACTGCCAGCCTTTTGTATCCAGTCAGGAAGGTGAGGGAGAAGCTGGCTGTCTTGGAAGGTCGCTACTTTTGTTACCTAGCATGGTCCCTCCCTCCCGCTATGTGCCTATTAGGGAATCTGCCCAAGTCCTAGCCCTTCATTGGAGGTGGGCATCTCTTTTTAGAACACTTCTGATGGAGAGGTAGGCACTGTGAGTTCCAAGAGAGAAAGTTAGCCAGCAGCAGCAATGGAAGCCCCAGAAAGGAACCTGTAAACAAAGTGAGCACTGAGTATTGCCCCCGGGGGTCAGTGTGCCATACATCCTCACCACGAGCATCTTAGGAGCTTGTGGAATGCTTCTTGGATGCCTCAGAGAGTATCAGCTGTTGGGGGAGGTTTAAAAAAAAGTAATAATAATATTACTGGAAATAATTCCATGTATATCTTTGACAAGTGAAGGCCCTTGGCTGAGGGTGGATGAGGTCCTGGAGAATGAACCCAATTAACTCAAAGCTTTGAAAATGCTAAATACGCCGGGCGGTGGTGGCGCACGCCTTTAATCCCAGCACTCGGGAGGCAGAGCCAGGCGGATCTCTGTGAGTTCGAGGCCAGCCTGGGCTACCAAGTGAGTTCCAGGAAAGGCGCAAAGCTACACAGAGAAACCCTGTCTCGAAAAACCAAAAAAAAAAAAAAAAAAAAGAAAATGCTAAATACACCCTAGCTACTGAGATGTACTCCAGCCAATAAGGGCTTTTCAAAATACATAACTCTAATACCACTATCAACCTAACAAAATAAAGAGCAACTCCTTAATATGTGTTCAAATTTCCTTAAAGATTTCAGTTGTCTTGATACACGTCATTTTTCTGAACCAAACAAGGGCCACAGGTATTGTATTTGGTTGTTATGTTTATTTGTTTGCTTTTCTTCTCTCTTTTCTCTCCCCACCTGCCCCCTCCCCTTTTCCTTTCTTACAGAGACTCATTGTATTTCCCAGGCTGTTTTTAAAGTTTGGGGCTCAAGAAATCCTCCTGCCTCATCCTTCTGGGTAGCTTGAGACAACAGGGTCAGACCAACACACCCAGCTGCTACAACTTTTGACAATTGTTTCAAGTTCCTTGTTTTTTTGCTTTTCTTTTAAACATCTCTTAGCAGGGCTTGGTGGCACACACCTGCCACACATGCCTGTAATCCCAGCCCTCGGGAGGCAGAGGGCGGAGGCAGTAAGATCCCCACAAATCTGAGTCCAGCCTGGTCTACACAGGAAGTGCCAGGCCAGCCAGACCCTGGCTTAATAAGCAAACTTGAAGTAGAAGCAGTTAGATTGCTCACTCTGAGGAAGGATGCACAGTTGGGATTTACCAGCTGCCCGGAGGCAGTGCTGTTCAACGTGACCCAATAGCCATGGCTTAATTATACTGGGCTTTAATAATTGGACAAGGGTTTTCAAAAGGCAATACTATACGTTTCCTCTCAGTCCTCTCAGTGAAACCTGGTACATTTGGCTGTCTCCATTTTAGTTACATTGTTAGCCCAGCCAAGCCACAATTTCCTGGCACTGTGCCAAATTTATGTCCTGCTAGTAATCTAGTTTTATTATTTCAGTACAGTATGCAAAATGGCGATTTTTCTAATTCTGTGATTCTTTCTGCTTTTATCAAATGGAACTTTTCAAATCTTTTTGGTGGTTTTTAATACAAAATAACAGGATGAATGATCATGTAATGAGTATGTATTTGATATGCCAGTAAATACTAGTCATTGTTTTTGAGGCCCACATTATTCCATATGAGCCAAGTGGAAGCCCCTGTAGCTGGACTTCTGTGCCTTTGTTACATAGTCACTTAAAATGATGATAGTTAATATTTAACTCAGGAGCCTGTCACTTCTTGTCCCAGTGTGGAATCATCCATTTATCCAAGAAACTGTTATTCTGCCTAGTGGGAAATGGTATTTAGAGACCACAGTTTGGATGTCAAGGTGATCATTTTTATGGGATTTCTAGATACTTTTATCAGACAAAACTTGTTTATAGTTTTTAGAAAGAAGAAATGAATCATGAAATCTTGCTTGTGTCTCCAAAGCAAACTTACAACAGGATTTTAATTAACTTCTTTGATATTATATAAAATATTTGTATCATTCCATGTCAGGGCTTAGAGCATTCTTGCTTGTCTGTCTGTCCATCCACCCTGCTCTCACCCTCTCTCATAGGAGACCATCTTATTTAACTTGTTTATCTGTTTTTGTAAAGTATAACCTAGCCTGTAATGCATGCATGTGTTGCTGGAGGGCTTCTCTCCAGGTTCCCCAAGCCCCGCAGTCTCACAATCCACATATAAAATAATCACTCAGACACTTATATCACTTATAAACTGTATGGCCGTGGCAGGCTTCTTGCTAACTGTTCTTATATCTTAAATTAACCCATTTTTATAAATCTATACCTTGCCACGTGGCTGGTGGCTTACCGGCGTCTTTACATGCTGCTTGTCCTGGCGGTGGCTGCAGTGTCTCCCCTCCTTCTTCCTGTTTCCCCAATTCTTCTCTCTCCTTGTCCCGCCTATACTTCCTGCCTGGTCACTGGCCATCAGTGTTTTATTTATATAGAGCGATATCCACAGCATACATGTTTATGTGTAAACAACTGTGAGTGTGAGTGTTGTGTAACATTCAGAGAGGAGATCAAGAAAGGGTAAAGCCACGAGAAAGGATGGAATTCAGGGGAAAAAACGTACCACTTGCAAAGAGGATACAAGTTCATTGCTTTTCTAATTTCAACTAAGTTGTATTTTTCCATTTTGGGATAACTTACAGTATTTCTCCCGACTTCACTCCAAACCGTCCCAAATGCCTCTCCTCACTCTCCTTGAAATTTATGGCCTCCTTTTCACTACCGTATATGTGCATACGTATATATTGCTAAATATAACCTATTCGTTCCAAATAATATTATTCTCTGTGTGTTTTCAGAGCTGGCCATTTGGCACTGGCCAACCAATCAGTGTGCTCTTTTCTGGGGAGGAACTGTTCTCTCACCCCAGCTTTCCTCAGTTGCCTATAGTTCTTTGAGTAGGGTTGAGGCCTCCTGGGTTTTTCTCCATCCACTTCAGCACGTCCATTGGTGTCGTCCTTGTTCAGCTCCTGTTTCGACAGTCATGTTGGTGAGACTCATGGGTGTAGCTTCTGATGTCACTAGGAGACACCGTCTCACAGCAAACTCCCCGGTCCTCTGGCTCTTACAGTCTTTCTGCCCCCTCTCTGACAATGTTCCCTGAACCTTGGATGTGGAAATATCTTGTAGATGTATCCACTGGGATTGAGCTCCACAACTCTGCATTTTGATTGGATGTGGTTTTTCTGTAGTGGCCTCTGTCAGTTGCAAAGAGATGTGTCCTTGACGAAGAGTGAAGACTGTGTACTTATCCGTGGGTATAAGGATGAACACTGTATATCATTGTTAGGGACTATGCAGGTTTAGTAAATTAGAGGTTGTAGACCCTCCTTCAATAACCATGACTTCACTCGCTTAACTGAGTAGTTAACTAGGTTTCCAGGACCAGTTATTGCATCCCTCTGGTTGAGCAGATCTCAAGTCCAATTAGAGAGCTGTTGGTTGCCACCAAGGTGTGTGTGTGCCCCTACTGTATACACCCTTAGTGTTATCTTGTCACACTGGTCCTTGATGTGGTTCACAGGTGTCATAGCTGGGTAGGACTGTTGGTGGCTTCCCTCCTTTGGAAGCTTGCATGGTGCCTGCTGGTACCATAAAAGCTAGTCCTCAGGGAGGGGACATTCAGGTCAGTTCCAGCTCAGGGGTCTCTGGGCTTTGTGTCTGAAGTGCATGGTGTCTTCTGCACTAAGAATTTACCTTCCACCTCTTGGAGGCAACCAAGGGCAACAGCCAAAGCCTGAATAATTTGGGAATCTCTTATACAGCCCTGGGTAATAACTCAAACGAAGGCATCACAAGTTTGGTGTTGGGATTTTTGTGAGGTGGTCTTTGACTCTTGGAGGGAGCACTGCCAATCCAAATCCAAATGTATGTATATATTTGCATGTATATAATACATGGGATAACATGTATCATAGGCTTTTATTTTTTAGGTAAATAGTTAATAGTATGATTCTTTGCAGCTTTTCAGACATCCTTATTGTTATTTTATCCACCTCCCACCGCTTGTGTGTTTACCTCCCTCCCCTCCCCTAAAGAACAACTCCTTCCCATTTTCCTATTAGATCACGTCTACCAGCTATTCCCTCTATTGCTGCCCAACTCCCCTCTCCTGACAACAGTGCTGTTTACGTCCCTGGTTTCTATAGCTACTACAGGCCATGTACTCACACCTAGTGATCTGGAGTTAGGAGCCTCCAATAAGAGAGAACATGTGACATTTGTCTTTTTGAGTCTGGGTTACCTCACTCGATGTGATTTTTTTTCTAGTTCTATTGGTTCGTGTGTGTGTGTGTGTGTGTGTGTGTGTGTGTGTGTGTGTTCGAAAAGTACATAAAAATTCAGTTGATAGTGGAGGTGTAAAACCTTAGTTGAAGCTCCAGGGCTTCAGAATGTCCATTCTAACTACAGAGAAGTTCACCGAAATATAGAATATTGTTGGTTTGTTTTTGCTCTTTTGCTCTCCCGGGGGTCCTGTCACCCAGCTCCCACACATGGAGGCTTATTCTTAATTATCAATGCCTGGCCTTAGCTTGGCTTGTTTCTTACCAGCTTTTCTTAAATTATCCCATCAACATTTTGCCTCTGGGCTTTTCCCGTTCTCTTACTTCTGTAAATCTTACTCTTACTCGTGGCTTGCTGTGTATCTGGGTGGTTGGCCCCTGGAGTCATTCTCCTTCTTTGATCTTCTTTCCCAGATTATTTTTTCTATATGTTCTCTCTTCCTGCTAGCTCCACCTATTTCTCTCTCCTGTCTTGCCAATGGCCATTCAGTTCTTTATTAGACCACCAGGTGTTTTAGACAGGCACAGTAACACAGCTTCACAGAGTTAAACAAATGCAACATAAACAAAAGTACACACCTTAACCTGTGGTGTTAAGAGCACTTTGTAAACTATTGTGTGACTGTAGGAGAATTTATTCAACAAGTCCTCAATTGATGGGTATTGACCTTTTTTCTGGTCATTTTCAATTACAAACAATGTAATTAATCACATCATGTATAATACTATCTCACATTTTTGCAAGTGTGTTTTTGTGTTTAAGGAACATTAAAAATTGTTCCATTTTTATTATTTGTGTGTGTGGTAGATGTGAAGGTGAGTGCATTAATCAGTTCTTTTCCTACCGTGTGGGGCCTGGGATTCAGACCCAGGTTATCAGGAGCCTCCAGGACTCACATTTTAAACAAACATGACAGTGATTCTGGACAGGTGGTTTAGATCTGTGTGTAGAGAAATAATGGAATAGAGTGGTGCTTTCTGAAATGTGGGTAAATCACTATAGCAATTTAATAGCTTGCAGTTAGGATTTTAAAAACCAAGTGTGACAAAACTGACTTGAAAATATCAACAAGTGTGGTAATAAGACTAAAGGCTATTTCTTTAAACTTTCACTTCATTTATTAATGAAACTGGCGGGAATGAGGGTATAAACTAAGTTGTGATGTAAAGTGTGTTTGTTACTCTGGTTTGAATAACTTTGAAGGAAGGAGCTTCCTGGCCACTATACAGTAGTTGAAATATTAAGGAAGGCATTTTGGTAGGGGTACTACCTGGGAGGGTCTTATAGAATGTGAATAGGCACCAAGATGGAATGCTTTTCACGAGGGGAAATACACAAAGGGATTGAAAAGGGAGAAGAAAAAAAGCTAAGAAAGCAGAAATGTGAAATGCATCTATAGGCAATGAGACGTTGAGACAGAGAAACTACCATACCTCCCCCACATCAACTCCCATCCCTCCCCCCATCAACTCCCATACCTCCCCCCACATCAACTCCCATCCCTCCCCCCACATCAACTACCATACCTCCCCACATCAACTCCCATGCCTCCCCCACATCAACTCCCATACCTCCCCACATCAACTCCTATACCTCCCCCACATCAACTCCCATACCTCCCCACATCAACTCCTATACCTCCCCCATCAACTCCTATACCTCCCCCCATCAACTCCTATACCTCCCCACATCAACTCCTATACCTCCCCCACATCAACTCCCATACCTCCCCACATCAACTCCTATACCTCCCCCCATCAACTCCTATACCTCCCCCATCAACTCCCATCCCTCCCCCCATCAACTCCTATCCCTCCCCACATCAACTCCCATACCTCCCCCCACATCAACTCCTATACCTTCCCACATCAACTCCTATACCTCCCCACATCAACTCCTATACCTCCCCACATCAACTCCTATACCTCCTCCCCCATCAACTCCTATACCTCCTCCCCCATCAACTCCTATACCTCCTCCCCCATCAACTCCCATCCCTCCCCCACATCAACTCCTATACTTCCCCCCATCAACTCCTATACCTCCCCCCATCAACTCCTATACCTCCCC